ATGCACAAAAGTTTTTTAATTTTGATAGATTCTATGTTTTGTTTTATAGGAAACTGCCAGACCCTTATTTCCAAAGTATTTGTGCCATTTTATACTGCCACCAGCAATATTGAGTGTTCCAGTTGCTGTACATCTTTGGCAACACTTGGTGTTGTCAGTCTTTCTAATTTTAGCCATTCTACTGAGTGCATAATAGTATCTCATTGTAGATTTAATTCACACCTAATGGAATTGAGCATTGACTATTTGTATATCTTTGTGAAATATTTGCTCAAATCTTTAATCCACTGTTTTGTTGGTGTGGGTTTTTTGTGGGGTTTTTTCAGTTTGTTTTATCATTTTTTGGTTTTTACTATATTTATTATTAAATTGAAGGGTTGGCTGATATTTCTCAGTTTCCTTATCTTTAGGTACCAGGTATGAATTCCTTCATGACACCTGGGCTACAATAAATGCCAAGCTCAGCCACTGTCCACAGTGCCTGAACTCATAAAAGCCCACTATGCCCACTCCCACTTAAGGCATGTGTGATCCATGCCAGGAAGGATGAGGGGGAGGCTACGGGATGCTGGGGTTTAAGGAGTTGGGCAGTAGGGAGTGTCTAGCAGTGTGATTTCAAGGGGGGTAGGTAGCATTCAGTGGCCCTGGCAAAAAGGTGAAAGAGGACCCTTGAGATGCAGAATATCTCCATGGGAGGAAGGAGGGAGGAAAGGGAGGGGGAAGAGCCCTCACTGCCCTGGAGCCAGAGAAAATGGAAATGGAGCAGATACATCAGCTACACTGAAAGCTCATAATAGAGCTGAACTATTAATGTCTCCCCAAGATCCTTCCACCTGTGACGTGACAGGAAGACATAAACTTCCTGTTCTGTTTGCAGAGAGTCCGGAAACACTGACAGTAACCACAGTGCCAGTGGAGGTCTTTCTCCTCAGATGTCCTACCCTGCCCTGTCCAGCAGGATCTTAGCTGAGGTTGCAGGCTCCCTCTCAGGACCAACAGCCGCCTGTGATCACATTCGAGAGGCAGTATATTGGAGGGTCAACCACTTTTATTATTTCATGTCCCAGTCTTAGAACATAACCCTCCCTGAGTTGCAAATCACAACCATAAACGAATCTCATAACATATAAAATCTCATAAGCTTATAAAAGTATATTAGTCAGGAGACAGAAACCATGCCAGTTATTTAGCAAAGAGAATGTAATACAGAGAACTGTTAACTAGGTTTAAACTCAACCAGGTAACTGAAAAATGAAAAAAGGGAGAAGTCTTCTGCAGTATCACAGAAGTAGCAACTGTAAGAAGCAGCTGCCACCTCCCACGCCTTAGGCTCAGGGAACCGGAGCAGAACTGAATGACTGAAACTTGGGAGTGGGAGGAGGACTTCCGCGGAATTGGAACTCAGGCCGCTGAGGGCACGCCAGCTTCTGCTATTAGTATCTCTGCTGAGGTCACTTTAAAGCTGATTCTTCAAGAACTGGGAAAACTGCAAATTGGATTTAGAAACCGCTAAGGGAAAGAACCAAGGCGATGAGCCCCGGAGCCGCAGGCAGACAGGAAGCAATCAGGAGGAGCAAGTTCCTTCCTCCTCCCCTGTCCCCACAGGCCCCCCAATTCCCTCCGTTTTGCAGGGCCCTATAGAACCAGCTGGCAGCGTAAGTGGAGTTTGCAGAATGCCAGCCCCTGCATCACGATACAGAGCACAGAAAGTGAGTTTGGAGCTGAGGGACAGTAACTTCATAACTGGCACAAAGGGCTTAGTATCCTACAAAAGGCAGTCACCCTGCAGGCAAACAGGAATGTTTTGAGAATAACCCGCCCATCCTCCATTCACCCAGAAGTCTGAGAGTTACCTTCGGAACAGACCAGACCAAATGTCCAAGCATCTGCCCTATAGACTTTCATTTTGTTACTTCTTTGGTGGCTCTAGCTCAGTGGTTCCCAAGCTTGTTTCTAAGAATTGCTGCATACTGTACTTTATAAGTGATATAAAGAATTTTCTAGTTTGATTTTAACTATATGGAACTTCTGTTTTCCTAACTTTAGAACCAAATGCCTAGCTCCCCAACACTGCCGTACACTGCAGCCCCATTGGAGTTGATCCGGGCAGAACTCGAAGAAGAAACACCATGGCACCGTGGGGAAGCGCAGGCCTCCGTGTCAGCTTGGCACAGGTGGTTTATATTCTCAGGCCTCTGCTTCCCAGTTGTGAACCTTTGGGGGCGCCGGCTAACCCCCTGAGTTTCATTTTCAGTTTCCTAATCTGTAAATGGGAATTAAATGAGAGAGCCTCTGGTGATTAGCACATGACCTGCCATGCAGTCATCAGTCGGTATGTGGTAACCAGAGAGGGTGTCACTGCTGACGCTGTTGCAGCTAGTTAGGCGCCTTACACCACACCCAGGGAGAACGTGCTCCCCAGCGAGTGCCTGAAGAGGGAACTGGCTAAGGAAAGTAGCGATAAGTAGGAACAGGTCCAAATGCCCAGAGTTTCTCAACAGTTTCCAGTGAGTTCCCAGAGACGTGAGTACGGGAGTGCTGGGGCCAAAAAGACAGACCACCGCGAACCTGAGTGAGGATATGGAGAAGTCAGGACCTTCGCCTACTGCCAGGGGTGGGGGGAGAGGGAAATGGTGCAGCCGCTTTGGGAAGCAGTCTGACAGTTTTTTGAAATGTTAAACACCAAATCCAATAAATAGATATAAATATGAAGTAAATAAATACATAAGTACACTAAAACACAGGAAGAGGAAGTCTCAATAGGCCTGGAACTGAACCTGCAAGGAGTGACTAAAAGAAGGCAAAATTATAGGAAAGACGAAATCTCAGCCCACGATGAGCAGAGGAGCCGAGAGAGTCCAGGGTGCTGGGAGCAGGCACTGGGTGCTTCAGACCCAAGGGGGATGAGGGGGTGGGAGGAGACCCGAACCGCAGCTCGGGTAGGCAGCTGGGGCACCAAGCAGGGGCACGCAGTACCCGAGGTGCCTGGGGTCACAGGAGAAACGGGGGTGCCCAGGCCCGGCTGCTGAGCTAGCCTGCTTGGTGGCAGGGCCTGCCGTGCCCCCACTCGGAAGATAACACGCGGTGCAACTCCTGCCTCTTCCCCTCAGTGGGCCGTGCAAAGAGCGTCAGCCATGAAGATGCGTTTGCACAAGGACCTTTGGGCGTCTCAGCGAAGCCCGCCTCATCAGGGGCACCGGCCGGCCTTTCCCGCTCCGGGGCTGGGTGAGACCAGCGCCAGTTTCAGCCCCGGTGCCCTGCGGCCAGGCCCGCGCGTCCTCCTGCCCAAGTCAGTGCCCGGGGCGCTGGGGGTGCCTGGCCCAGGGGGCGCGGGGCC